CAAGCACCATATGTTCTCACTAACAAATGGGAGCTAAATGATGGCTACATATGGTCATATAGTGGTGTGAAGGACATTGGAAACTCAAAAGAGGGGAGGGCAGAAGGGGAGTGAGGAATAAACACTTACTTATTGGGTACAATGTATATTACTATATACTATAGTGATGGGCATACTAAAACCCCTGACTTAAGCATCCACGTAATAAGAAAACTTGTACCCCCTTAATATTTTGAAATAAAAAATTAAAGTAGTAGGAATTAGATGTGTGGAGGAAAAAGTAAAATGAAATTCCAAGAAGACAGAATAGGATGGACAAAGGTAAGCAAGTGTGAATCAGTCATATGCAATATGAATTACACATAAAAGAATATATTAACTGGTCGTAAACTTATGTAACATCTAAAATTTGTGAAGATGTGAATCATGTAGATGAATAAATATTAAAAGAGAAAAATACTTTGAGATTCTTCTCCATACAAATAGGATATAATTAAATATGATCAAAGTTGGTCTACCTGCCAATGAAAATGTCTCATTATATAAATTGACTCAAATGTTATTCACTTTAAACTTTTAAAAAACTAGAATAACTTTTGAATTCACTAGCCAATTTAAGACACTTTCACTTTTAAATTCTTCTAAAATTGAGAGATGCATATCAAAATATTTAGGGGTGAACTGTTATGCTGTCTATATTTTAAGATAGCATAGCAAAAGATAAATTAGATGAAATAAATATTGGAAAACATTAACATCTCTCAATTCTAGGTAACAGATATATTATAATATTCTGTTTTATTTCTGAAAATTTTTTATAATAAAAATAACATAAAATTTTCCTAATGTTTATGAAGAAAATGAAACTATAAATGGAAATACTTAGTTATAAAACTATTCAAGTATTTAAAAAACAAACCAAATATTATTGATCCTGGTTCTACTTCCAAGTTTGATCACATTTTGTTACAAGTAACTGAAGAACTACAAAGAGAAAAAGTTAGATTCTCCAAATTTTTGATTGTTCTGTGTAAAGATTGTGGTTTGACAAGCTTCAGTAATAATTAGACTGTCATGGCACACACAAAGGATTACAGAGTTATAATTAATGTTGCTAACTTATACAGGGAGATTGGTGAGCCATTAGTTAATTAATTAGTTTCTTGCCAAATAATAAAAGTATTTACTCACATAGGATGGAAATGATGATCAAAGAGGATGCTAATTAAGATCTCTGTATTTTCTGTGTAAGGTCATGGCTTCCCCAATTTTTCAGTCTTTTGTGAATATTCATCATTCTTTTTGTCAAAGAGCCACCAGAGAAATGAACATGGTCTACAGATACATTATTTTGGGGAGGGTGTTGGTTTTCTGAATTTTGGGGGGTATGTCTGTGGGGTGCTTTCCTTATAGGAAACTAGAAAACTGTCCCTTTTAGAGCATGAGGAAAAAAATCTTTTCCATAACAGTTTTTAAACTGCATAATTATAGGATAAACTGGCCACTGGATTTTACACTTATATGAAGACCTTATTCCATCTGGAAACTAATTCTTATTAGAAAATAGCGCATGACATAACAGCATACATTTTAGAGGGACTATTAACAGGAAAACAAGAATGTGTCTCCAGGTCCAATTTATGTGCCTTGTACAACAGATATCAGGCACATATTGATTAGACAGTTCAGGTGTATAAAGGCATGTGACTTGTTAATGACAAAGTAAATGGAAGGCTGCGGTCCCCTGACCGAATGCAATGGGAGAGATTGAGTCATCCCACTCTGTATAAACCAGAAGGAAAACAAACAAAAAGCAGGTAATGGTGGGAAGAGAGGCAAGTTGAGCCGTCCACCAGAAGCACAATGTGATGGGTCCCTGCATTGCTTGTGATATGTACAGCACAGGCTTTTATTGTATGAGCAAAGAGAGGCTGCTTCTGAGAAAATGTTCTCTTCTACAAGAAAAGAGTGGGCGAGGAAAGACATTTTCTCTTATTGCTTCAGTGGTCCATGAAGCAAATCAAGTATTTGTGTCAGTGTGATACTAAGAAATTAATTTCAAGTTTATGCTGAATTCTTTTCTGTAGAAATCAGTGTTTGTGTGAGGTTCTATTATGTTGACTATTCAAAACTGAGCAAACAACGTGACAATATGAACATTAGCTAGAATAAAAATCCTTAGCTACAGTTCATGTAACTGGTAACTAAAAAATTGAGAGAGTTATAATGGCCAGTACTTGCAGTGGCAGAAAAATGGCCCTCCAAAGATGTCCACGCCCTGATACCTGGTGTTATGCCTCTGTATGCTATGTTATGTGGCAAAAGTGATTTTGCAGATGGAATTAAAGTTATGGACCTTAAAATGGGGAGATTATTCTGGATTATCTGGGTGGGTGCAATGTGATCACATTGCTTCTTAAAAATGGAAGAGGAAGGTGGAATCAGTCAAAGTTGGGACAGAAAAGGAGAATGGAGGAGAGATTCAAAATGCAAGGACTCCACTTGACTTGCTGACTTTGAAGATGGAAGGATGGGGCACGAGCTAAGGAATGCAAGCAGCTTCTAAAAGTTGGGAACAGCCCTCAGCTGACAGCCAGCAAGGAAACACTGATCTCAGTTCCACAACTGCAAGGAACTGAATCCTGCCATCAGCCGGAACGTGCAAGAAGATGGAGTCTACCCTACAGTCTCCGGAAAGGAATGCAGCTATGCCCAGCCTTTGACTTTGGCCTTGTGGTCTCTAAGCAGAAGTACGGCTGAGCCAACCAGATTTCCGACCTATAGAAATAGTGAGAGGATAAATTTGTGTTACTTTAACCTGCTAAGTTTGTGGTAATATGTTATAGTAGCAATAGAAAACTAATACAGCATTCACTGAAGGCATCTTCTTTTTGGAAGCTGGGGTATAACTTGGCTGACAGGCTGTCTTCCCTGACATTCAGTTCATCACTAATGGAAAGTAGTCCTGAAGGGCATGGAGTATTGACATTGAATATCTGTTAAGCCCCTACCAGGCGCCAGGCGCTGTTCCAGGAACACGCCAAAGCATGAGACAAAATAGACAAAAGATCCCCACCCTGAGGTTTCTTAAATCCTGTGGCTTGAGAAAGCAATAATAAAATAAGATTTAATATTAGAAGGTGATGAGAACTCAGGGGAAAATATAGCAGGAAGAGGGATTAGGGAGTGCTTCGGGATGCACTTTTAAATGGGAAGCATTTACTCGGAAGTTGACATTTGAGCACAAATCTGAAGGAGGTAAGAGAAAAAGCCTTGAGGCTGGCAGGGGCATGGCATCCAAGTCCGGGAAGAGTGAACTGGGCCTGCGCAGTGAGTTAGGGACAGAGACGGAGCCAAGGCAAGTGAGACGAGCTGGGAGAGAGGGCAGATCCTATAGGGCCCTCAGACATTGTAGAAACGTAGGCTTTTTGAGATGGGTGCTGTTGGAAGATTTTAGGCTCTTGTGTCAAGAATAAAGGAAAGCAGAGTGTGAAGAAGGTTCCGTGCGCACTCGTTACCAACTTGTCTGAGTGTGGCGAAGCAGAACACCTATGCTCACAGCAAGTCACATGAAGCAGGTTTATTCCTTACAGACAGGCAGCAAGGGACAACAGAAGCCTGGGAGTCACTGGGCGCAGGTCTCTCGAGGCTCAGGAAAACTGCCCAAAGTAGACGGCGTCTCCACTGCGCATGTCCCACTTGCCTACTGCAGGGGGCTCGGGCTTGGAGGGGCCGGGCGTGGGGGCGTGGGGTTGGTGGCCCAGAAAACAGCCCACCCGAGGTTCTATACCTCAGGGAAGACGCGATGCACTGGGCTAAAGTGTTGGAAGGTATCCTGTTTCTGGGGGGGGGGGGGGACAGCAACAAAGCCGGGGCTGCTCCAGGCAGTTCCCCCTTTACCTCAGGATGCTTTGTTTCCGAATTATTCTATGGTTATTCTTGAGAACTGTAACATAAGCAAAAGGGGCGGGAGAACTGGGTCTGTCCCGTGTCACCCAGAGAACTGCCCCGCAGAAGGCAAGAATGGAATCAGGAAGACTGTTGGAGATTGCTGCTCTCATTCAGGCTGCGGATGGGGTGACTTGGAGTGTCCTGGTGGCAGGGGAGGTTGTGAGAAGTGACGGGGTTCTGGGCTCATCTTGAGGGGAGTAGAGCTTAGGAGAATTTTCTTTTTTTTGAGATGAGTTTTAAACTCAAAGTAATTATTAAAATTACTGCTAAAAAGGTAAAGCTGAATCTTGAACCTTACCTGTGAAGTGCAATGTTTTGTGTATCGTGTTCTTTTTTTTTTTTTTTTTTTTTTCACTCTGTTGCCCGGGCTAGTGTACCGTGGCGTCAGCCTAGCTCACAGCAAACTCAAACTCTTGGGCTCAAGTGATCCTCCTGCATCAGCCTCCTGAGTAGCTGGGACTACAGGCACATGCCACTATGCCTGGCTAATTATTTCTATATATTTTTAGTTGTGCAACTACTTTCTTTCTGTTTTTGGTAAAGATGAGGTCTTGCTCTTGCCCAGGCTGTTCTCGAACTCCTGAGCTCAAATGATCAGCCTACCTCGGCCTCCCAGAATGCTAGGATTACAGGCGTGAGCCACCGCGCCCAGCCTTGTGTATCATGTTCTTTAACAGCAATTTTAAAAATCTAGGATAAAAATGTAGCTGCAGCTGTGGTAGTTGGAAGAACTTTATTACAGAATTTGTTCACAATGACTTCCAATGTTTCTTATACATTAATTACTATAACTGCTATAACTAGTATACTGAAATAATTTGAATATTTTTAATGTATACAAATCAAATGCTGCTATTAATGAGCCCTTGATGAGGTCAGGAAGATGAATTTTGTAACATTTGCATCATATCTATCCTATTCTAGTTTCCAAAACTACCAGTTTGTTTTATATTTCGCCACAGGCAGTGAGTTGAAATTTTGTATTTTGAATGCATCTGTTCTCTGCTTGATTTTTGTTTATTTGCTTTAAACTTGTTTTTCCTCATCAGAAGGTAATTGTTTCCCAGAATGGGATGGACTCATTTGTTGGCCCAGAGGAACAGTAGGGAAAATATCGGCTGTCCCATGTCCCCCTTACATTTATGACTTCAATCATAAAGGTATTGAATTTTTCTGAAATGATTAATTTGAAACAAATTTATTTATTTGTCTTTGTTATAGGCTGTAAATGAACTGTGTAATCTCAGAGTCTTTCATGTCTTTACAGGAGTTGCTTTCCGACACTGTAACCCCAATGGAACATGGGATTATATGCACAGCTTAAATAAAACATGGGCCAATTACTCAGAGTGCCTTCACTTTCTGCAGCCAGATATCAGCATAGGAAAGGTAATGGAATTTTTGTATTTGTGAACCCTAAGGGAAAGTAGAATAATATTTCTATGCAAGTCTCGATTGCTAATTATTATTATATATGTATATAAACCCTTTTATTCTATGACACGAGGATCATAAAAGATAAAAGCAATGTTGGGATCTTTTCAGATGCATATGAAACATTCTGGTAATTTCCTTAGGCTAGAGTTACCTGGCTGAGATATTAATGCATGCATATATACTTATATCTGTATGTGTATTTATTATAGTACATTATGTTATGTTTTTATTACATTATATTATGCCATATTATATTATGTCTAAAAATCCCAACAGGTAGTCAGCAACATGAGTCACAATTTCTTCTTAGTTACCTAGAATGGTTACATCTAATCTCTATAATCCTGAAGGACCCCTGCACTTCACAGGTGCATTTTCCATCTCATAAGATTTGCCAGCAGGTGATTACATTAGGATATGAAAGATTAGAGTTGTAGGATTAAAGAGGAGCAGAGGGCATCTTATAAAATTTCCGGCACAATACCTTAATTTCACAGATATGAGTCAACTGAGAACCAGAGATTTAAGTGTTGGTCAGAATGACATCACTCGCTGATGACAGGGTTTAAAGCAGAGCCCTGACGTCCTGATTTCACATCAGCACTGTTTCAAGCATAGCAATCATATGTAAACTTCGAGAAATTCTAGAGAGTTATTTTTAAAGTTGTATATGGTATTTTCAAAGTTGTGCTTAAAGTCACTTCACTGAGACCTCATGAGCAAAAATGCATGATGATATATGATGCTTAGTGAATATGATAAATTGGTATATAAATGATTTTTATGAGAACAGTCCATCCTACATAAACTCTCCCCAAAATAGACATTTGTCTTTATGCCTGGTGATTTTTTGTGGGGAAGTAGAGAGGGAGAAGTGGTGAGTTAAAGATTTCTTTGTTCAATTTTGCATGAATAGTCAGAACTTCCTTTTTCAAGTTCTTCTTTTGTAACACAAAGCACTACCCCTTCTAATGAGTAATTTGCTGAAAGACCTTCAGTTTTGTGTTTTATCATTGAAAGCTTCTTGGATAAAATTAGTCAATATGAGGAGATTGTCATATACTTTCTAACTCACTAATGCCAACACTAAGTTAATATAAAATGCTTCAAAATATTAATAATTTCAGTCTCATTGACAAAAATAAGCATTCACTGATATTTTAGTGTGCTCTATATTTTTATTTTTGCATTAAATTATGAGAAATACAAGTTTTTCACAGTTGTTAAATGACCATTAAATTAAATTATGGTTTTATTTATACTGAACTCTATTTTATAACCATTCTTTGTGATTACTGTATATTCTAAGAATCAAAATAACCAAAAGATGGTTAATATACCAAAGATATGTATTACTTCATATAAAATTATTTAAAAGTTAATTAAAAATTTGAGTTAGCATAAATAATTTAACTTTATCACTTTAATCAAAAATACAAAATGCGCTTTCTATTGTTTAAAACCTTTAAGCAATAATTTGGGAAAACTCAAGAAAACTAGATATCTTCTAATAAGAAGACTAGATATCTCCTGAAGTTTTGATATACTGTAGGGAGAAATTATATTATTTATGAGATATAAATTATTAATGGTTATAGTGAAACTTTTTTATAAGGATGGAAAAGCAAAAAACTAAAGATATGTGTATTTAGAATAAATGACACATCTCTATTGGGAATATAAGACTTAGATATTTTTGAGCACAGATTATTTTTGTCTTTAAATAATTTCCATATCATTGGCTTGGCAAAATGAGGTAATTATTTCAATAAAAATAAGAGAAGGAAATCTAGTGATAGTTTACAAGGTTATTAAAGTTTTTAGTATATGATAGTTAAGACAGTAGCATACTGTATAAATTACCATATACTATATCTCATGTCTAAAGGCTAGATGCACTTTGGGAAACCAATTTAGCAATATATATTAAAAAACCTCAAAGGGGTCATATCCTTTGATCTTATAATTTTACTTCTAAGATCAAGCATAAGGATTTGGAATGGGAGAACTGAATGGAAAAAATGTTTATTGAACAAATAATTTCAAAGAATTTAAATTTCCAATGAAGAGCTGGTTAAATAAGCTAAGAGTTTGCTGCTTTGGGAAATTTTTTTGTCATACAATTAACTGAAAAAAATTCAGGAATAAACTTGTGTATAAATCAAGAACGAAGATGATTAAAACAATAGGAAGTGATGCATAGAAATAGAATGAAAAGAAACACATGAAGTACTAACTGTTTTTTTTGTTGTTGGTGGTGGTGAGAATGTGGGAGTTTTTTTTTCCTTTTTCTGTTATATTTTATACATTATCCAAATATTTTCTATAAAAAATTTTAATATTTTATCAACAGAAAATAACATGTAGTAAATGACATTTTAAAAAAAGGAACAAGAGACAATATCTTCTGTTTCCAGTCAGAATGTGGGTAGTTGGAACAATAAGAATAAGTTGGGTAAGATGCAAAACCAGTAATTTGTGAAAATCCATCAGTGAGCTGAGGATGCCAAGAAATCTACATGAACTAAATTCCAGAAATGGGCAAGCCTTTCCTGTGAGAGAAGAGACCCATGGCTGCATTTATCCCTAGGACCACAGTAGAAGGAGAGCGACCAGATCATAGAAGGGAATAAAAAGAAGAGTCAAGATTTTCAACCAACTTTTAGCAGACAAGGGCTGGCATAGGGCTTAGAACTCCAAGGAGTGAGCCCTAGTCACAGTGAGCTATTGTCATCAGCCAGTCCTTTCCCATGGGGCCTTCACCAAATGAATGGAGGCAGCATGCCAAAGGCTGGAGGTGCTGGGAGTGCTAAGAAAATCCCTCCAGATGCGCATAGGGCTCTCACAGAGTGAAAAGCAACAGTTTGCATAAGGCATGGATCAGAACTGAGGAGCTGACAGACATCACTCGAGGCCTGAGGCCCGTGGGGCCCTCACTAAGTGCATGACCGCTGCATCCCCTTGGCCAGGGGAAGAGCAGGGAAGCCAAGAGAAATCCCCTTAGAGATGCAGAGGTCCCATTGAGAGCAAGGTAGCCCACCTGGCAAAGGAGAGCTGAGAAAGATCTCTCCTAGGCACATGGAGCCTTCATCTAAAGCAAGGCAGTTGCTAGTTGAAGACTGTGGCAGAACAACAGGCTAAGTTCAAATCTCCTGAGATGCAGAAGGACTGAGGAAGAGCTAGACAGCAAAGTGAAGTGCCCAGCAACTAAAAAAAGAAGATGGATAATTCAAAAGGGTATAGTTCTTCTGTGGCTTTAGACCTGCCAGGTGAACTAAAACCCATATAATGGCTCCTGGCGGCTGCTGCTTTTCAGATCTCAACGTTTGCTGAAGGAAAAGCCTTCATACTCCATTCTCAAAACCTAAACACAGGATAAAAAGAATCCAAACATCAAAGAAAAATTAGAACAAATCCTAGCCCTACTTTAATGATGGAGTAATTCAGCCTCCCTACCCAAGCAGTCTGACGGAGAAGAGGCCTGCTGTTTTTTTTTTTGGGGGGGGGGCAGTAATATAATGCATTCTTTTACTGACAATGCCTATAGCATAATAAAAAATTACAACACAGGGACCCAAAATCAAGATTAAAAATAAGAGTAGAAGAAGAGATGATTCAGATGTTGGACTTTGCAGATGATGTGTTAATAATAACCACTAAAATTTGTTAGTTGATTTAGTGAAAAAGATGCATGAAACAGATGGAAAAATCAGCAGAGAAATGAAAATTTTAAAAAGAAACCAAAAGGAAGTCCTAGAACTGAAAACTACAATATAAAAATGAAGAATTCATCTGATAGCCTCAACAGCAGATGGAACATAGCATGATAAAGAGTTAATAAGCTTGAAGAAAGATCAATAGAATTACTCAATTGAAGCACTAAGAGAGTAAAATGAATTATAAAACTGAACCATTTGAGACATGTGAGACAATATATAACTGTCTAACATGTGAAATTAGAGGTAAAGAGAAAGAGAATGTGATCCAAATAGTGTTCACAAAACCCTTTAGTTGCCCCTCCCCTCCACCTGCCTCCCCCTTGGTTGATTTCCACTGAGTTTTACTTCCCTCTGTGCACATGTGCTCATTGATTAGTTCCAATTAAATAGTGAGTTCATGTGATGTTTGCTTTTCCACTCTTGAGATGCTTCACTTAGGAAAATGGTCTCCAGTTCCATGCAGATTGTTGCAAAATGTATTAATTCATCTTTTTTATGGCTGAGTAGTACTCCAAGTATACATATACCACATTTTATTAATCCACTCATGAATTGATGGGCATGAATTGACATCTTGAGTCCATACCTTTGCAATTGTGAATTGTGCTGCTATAAACATTTGAGAACAGGTGTCTTTTTGATGAAAAGTCTTTTTTTCCTATGGGTAAATATCCAATAGTGGGATTCCTGGATCCAATGCTACATCTACTTTTAGTTCTTTGAGGACTCTCCATAGTGTTTTCCATAGAGATTGTACTAATTTGTAGTCCCACCAAGAGTGTATAAGCATTCCTCTCTCTCTGTATCCACGGCAGCTTTTTGATAAATGCCATTCTAACCAGTGATTAGTGACGTTGAGCATTTTTCATATGTTTATTGGCCATTTGTCCTTCCTCTCTTGAGAAGTCCTCTTCATGTCTTTTACCCACTTTTTAATAGGGTTGTTTGTTTTTTTCTTGCTGATTTGCTTGAGTTCCTTGTAAATTCTGGTTATTAGTCCTTTATTGGATGTGTAGCTTGAGAATATTTTCTCCCATTCTGTAGGTTGTCTATTTGCTCTGTTGATTGTTTCCTTAGCTGTGCAGAAACTTTTTAGTTTAATCAAATCCCATTTTAAAATTTTTGCTTTTGCCGTGATTGCAATTGGGGTATTCCACATGGAAGCAAGGATTGGCAGGAAGGAATGAGGAGTACCAAAATAGGCAAATATATGGATAAAAATGAAAGACTAAAAAGAAAAACTATATATCTAGGCATATTTATTGCTATATTTATTTTATCTTTAGATTAAAATAATAAAATAGATTAAAATAGATTTTATCTTTATCTTTCTTTGCTTAAAGAAAACACAATGGCCTGAATATCCCTGATAAACATAAATACAAAAATCTTCAACAAAATACTAACAAACTGAATCAACAGCACATTTAAAGGATCATTCACAATGGTGCTCCTGTGTTGGGTGCATAGATATTAAGAATTGTTAATCTTCTTGTTGGATTTTTCCTTTCACCATTATATAGTGACCATCTTTGTCTTTCTTTACTTTTGCTATTTTAAAACTTATGCTGCCTGAAATCAGAATTGCTACTCCCACTCTCTTTTGGTTTTCATTTGACTGAAACTTTGTTCTCCAACCCTTGACCTTGAGTCTGAAAGTGTCTTTATGGGTTAGATGCATTTCCTAGAGATAGCGGATACTGGCTTATAATGTTTTATCTACTCAGTCAGTCTATGTCTCTTCAAAGGACAATTCAAGACATTCGCATTTATTGAGAGGATTAATGTTCAGGGTAGATTTCTGTTCATATTGTTGGGTAAGTTCTTATTGTTTTATTTGAGCCATATTGTTTGTCTTGAGCTATTGTGGAATCTAGGTTCTGGGCTTTAACTCTTGAGTGTTTTTGATTTGGTGGGTGTCTGTTGCGCTTTTCAGTGTGTAGTGCAGGTCTGAGTACTTCCTGCAGAACAGGTCTGGTCTTCACAGATTCCATCAGTGATTGCTTGCCTGGGACAGCCTTTATTTCTCCCTCACAGATACATTGGTTATGTATGTACTATGGAATACTATTTAGCAACAAAAAGAACAAATTATTGACATGTGTAACAACTTGGATGGATCCTAAGAGTATTACTCTGAGTGAAAAAGGCCAATCTTAAACAGTCCCATACTATGTAATTTCACTTATATAACATTTATGAAATGAAAAAATTATAATAGAGGTGGAAAACAGATTAATAGTTGCCAGGTGCTTGGGATGGTGGGAGGAGTAAGGGAGGTGGCAATGCAAAGGAACAGCACAAGGGAGCACTCTGTGCTGGTGAAATAGTTCGGTATCTTGGTTACAGCGATCATTACATAAATGTGCATGTATGATAAAATGGCATAGAACTGTAAGTACTCACATTGCACTGATATCAAACTCCTGGTTTTAATATTTTAGTAAAATTATGTAAGATGTAAGCACTGGAGGATACTGGGTGAAGGGTACATGGGATCTTTTCTTACTACATTTTCCACTTCTTGTGATTCTATAATTATTTTAAAATAAAACAAAAATTAAACAGGAACAAACCATTTATACATGTAACAATATGGATGAGTATCAAGGACAGTATGTTGACAAAAGGAGCTTTTACTATACTATATAATTGTAAGATATCGAAGAACAGGCAAGAAGTATATAAAGTATGTGAACAGAGAAAACTAATCCATGATGATAGAAATTGGAACAGTGGTTACCTGGGGGTGGATGGTGGGTGGTTTTTGGACTAACAAGGGGCACAAATGAACTTAGTTTGTCAAGACACATCAGAATGTTCATGTAAGATCTGTACATTTTATTACATGTAAATTACTCAAAAAAGCTCAAAAAAGTTTCCTGGTGAAATAGTTCTAAAACATATGTGACTCTTCCCCTACAGCAAGAATTCTTTGAACGTCTCTCTGTAATGTACACTGTTGGCTACTCTGTTTCCTTTGGTTCCTTGGCTGTGGCTATTCTAATCATTGGTTACTTCAGGTGAGTGACTCCCCGTCCCTTCTGGCTGAAGGGACGAGTTGTTTCCTATTCAAAAAAGACATAGAGGTCTCACAATCTGTGCCTCCAAATATTTTTCCCAAATGTAAGTTTTTGAATACAGCTTAATGTTATTATATTTTTTGAGAGTTCATTTTTTAATGACAAATTCAGGGTTTTTTTCATTTAAAAACTTAAAGCATCTTTTAGTTATTTAAAAATATACCCTACCTTATTGTTGATTATAGTCACTTTGTTGTGCTATCAAATATTATTCATTCTATCTATCTAACTATATTTTTGTACCCATTAACCACATAATAATTTTTTAAAAAAGCATCAAAGCAGTATTAAACTTTTAAGCCAATAGGTTTGCATTGTAGTATATTTGTTTGCAAAATGGTACAACGTAGAGTTGAATGAGCTACAAACATTTTCTTTCAGGATGTAATGACTTATTTCACTTTTCCCAGATGATTTTGCCTTCATTGGACAAAAAAAAATCATCTTAAATAATTTTCAAAATTATCTGATGTCAGCACATAAAGAAACAGTATTTATTGCTTTTGTTGTGATTTTTTTATATACTTAAATTTGTGTCCAATTCCATTCAGCTTAATCTGAATCAATAAAAAACTTTGATCAACCAATATAGTTGGCCCTCTGTATCTGAAGGTTCTGCATCTCCAGATTCAACCAGCTGCAGATCAAAAATATTTGGGACAAAAAGTGGGTGTCTGTATCTGTACTAAACATGTACGGACTTTATTTGCTTATCATTATTCTCTAAACAATACAGCATAAGAATTTATTAATATATAGCATTCACATTGTATTAGGCATAATGAGTAATTTAGAGATGATTTAAAGTATATGAGATCATATGTATAGCTTATATGCAAATGCTACACTATTTTATATAAGAAGCTTGAGAATCTTCAGATTTTGGTATCCATGTGGGGTCCTGGAACCAATCCCTGGGGAGAGGGTAGGCTGGCCAGTAGTGGTAGTAGTGGATACTGGGTGTCTTTCCCCATTTCCTTTTATGCAGATCTAAATACTGAATGATGTTTCTCTCCTTAGACGATTGCATTGCACTAGGAACTATATCCACATGCACTTATTTGTATCTTTCATGCTGAGAGCTACAAGCATCTTTGTCAAAGACAGAGTGGTCCATGCTCACATAGGGGTAAAGGAGCTGCAGTCCCTGATAATGCAGGATGACCTACAAAATTCCTTTGAAGCACCTACTATAGACAAATCACAATATGTAAGTGTTTTCACCATTTTCTCTTGTTACTGATTTTTATAACTTTACAAATAAGTAAAATTTTACAGTGTACTAAATGTACATTAACTTGTTTTTGCTTACTTTATCTATGAACTAAAATAGACTACCAATTTGTATAGTCATGATTGTTCCCTCAATTATGTTCTGTCATGTCTAAGCACTCATCACTTTAGATGATTAAAAGTGCTTGGGTTCTTTCCTCAAGAACATTCTGGAATGGAAACTGCCAAAAACACATGACGGGAATGGCATTTGATATATGGACCATAGAAACTGTCATGGCTTACCACTTTCAAAAGTAAAAACCCGTCAGTAAAACCAGAAACTTGATATTTAAAACCCCACAATATTTAGTTCCTTTATTGTAGACTCAAAGCCTTGTTACAATATAAAATTTTGTGGTATTTGATTCTGCTCTTAAATGTCTTGGTGTTAGTTAGTAAATAGAGTCACCCAATTATTCAGTTAATTAGATCATTGAAGCAGTATATCTGGAAATTAGATATAGTGGATTTATTGTCTTGATGGTACAAATTAACACCCTGTGTCAGTGCCTTTGCCCTGTAACTTTGTATTCCCTGCTAATTCTGATTCTGGACTGGCTTTATGACTTGCTTTACCCAATAGAAAGAAGTGGAAGTGATGGTGTTGAGAGTAGACTTCTATGCGTGAGGCTGGTCAAGATGCACTGAGCCCAGATCAGCAAACCATCTAGCTAATCCCTAGATTTATAAGACATGTTAAATGTTTATTGTTTTAAGTCACTAACTTTTAGAGAAGTTTGTTTTACAGCAATAGCTGCATAAAAAAGACCACAATAACATAAATTCATGGTAGAATATGGGTAATATTTTCTTCTTTGTGCTTTTCTATACTTTCCTAATTTTCTCTGATGATCATATGTTATTTATATAAAGAGAAAGAATTAAGAAAGTGATTTTTTGTAACTTCTAAGAGAAAAAAACTTATTTAAAAATAGAATCAAATTATAGTCTTAAAAAACACTATATTAGATAACTTTGTTCTGGTCTCTCAACAGTCTTGGCCATTCTATGTACAGGAGAAATTTTAGACTATATATAAAAAAACCCAACAACCTGAAGAATTGATTTTTAATGGTCTAATGTTGGCATCCAGTACAGTGAAGAGTTCTAACATGATGCAATTCTGGTTTATTTGTAACAGATCGGGTGCAAGATTGCTGTTGTGATGTTTATTTACTTCTTGGCTACAAACTACTATTGGATCCTGGTGGAAGGTCTCTACCTGCATAGTCTAATCTTTGTGGCTTTTTTTTCGGACACGAAATACCTGTGGGGCTTCATCTTGATAGGCTGGGGTAAAGCATTACCTTTCCTTGTAAGCTTTGAGGACTTTCTGTCATGTCCATCATGAGCATTCCTGCAGCCATTTTCCTGAAATAATCCCTCTTATCATTATTTTCCCCTCTTTTTCTTTCATTGTTCTATTTTTAGATGAAAATTATTAAGATCGAGTCTCTAATCCTCCTAGCAGTAACACACTTTTCTTTTTTTTTTTCAGATTTGAAGTGTGTTTATTTTTTTTTATTTTATTTTGGCATATTATGGGGGTACAGATTTTGAGGTTTCAATAAATGCCCTTCCCCCCCTCCCCCCACAAGTCTGAGTCTCCAGCATGACCATCCCTCAGATGGTGCGCATATCACTCGTTATGTATGTATATACCCGCCCCCTCCCCCCTCCCACCTGCCCAATACCCTATTACTGTAGCACCTATGTGTCCACTTAGGTGCTACTCAGTTAATACCAGTTTGCTGGAGAATATATCTGGTGCTTGTTTTTCCATTCTTGGGATACTTCACTTAGTAATACACTTTTCAAGTTGAATTTATAGTTAGTGTTCTTAGGCCAGGTTCTTGACAGGATTCTTTGCAGGAAAGATAAGAGAACACTTTGTTAGCCAGACACATTTAGAACTGCTATGTTCATGTCATATGTCAGTGTTCTGCTTTATCAATAATTTCAAATTAACAATTGTTATTTTTGAATTTCTAAGCTATAATGACATATCTTTGATTTGTATTTCTAGGTCATATGATGAGAATGTTAGAAAGGAATTTATAGGACTGTCTTGACTGCATTTAACAACTGCAAATTACAGACTAATTATGTGGACTTACCATGTCTTTTAGAAGGAAATCATTCAAATTACTTTTGGCATAAGTAATTTATAAAAAAAAAAAAGATATTGAGCTCACATACCAGAAATGACTTATCAGTACTAGAGTGATTACTGCATTAGGCACTAACTCAACATGACACAGAGAAAATAAATTGCTTGTTAAAATTTAAGAGGAAGGCAGGGCGAGGTGGCTCATGCCTGTAGTCCCAGCACTCTGGGAGGTTGAAGCAGGAGGATCCCTTGGGCTCAGGAGTTTGAGACCAGCCTGAGGAAGAGCGAGACTCCATCTCTACTCAAAATAGAAAGATCAGCTGGATGTTATGGTGTGCACCTATAGTCCCAGCCACTCCCAGGCTGAGGCAGGGGGATCACTTAAGCCTAGGAGTTTGAGGCTACAGTGAGCTCGATAATACTATTGCTTTCTACCCAGGGCAAGATAGTGAGAACCTGTCTCAAAAAAAAAAAAAAATTAAGAGGAATTAAAACTTACATGTAGTTAAAATTGAAAAGAGTCTGAAGATGAACAATTGCAGATCTCAATTTCTATTTTAATATTTAAGTTATGAGGTGCTCAGCATAAAAAAAAATTTGCTATGTAGCTCAAGATGAAATTTGAAGGTTTTCTTTCCCCTCTAAAATAAGAATATTTCTTTGCCTGTTTTGCCTTAGTATTTTTTCAACATTTAAAATGTGAATAAGGAATATTGAATTTCCTGTTAGCTAATTAATAACGTTTAAGAAGACAAAGGATAAATTTATTGTTACATTTCATTAATTATGAAATAGTAATTATCACAAATAAAGTCTTATTTCTGAAGGCAGCTCATCTGTTTTAAGGCTTTCTCTTATCTTTGATCAGCAGTTACTAAAAATAAAAAAGATACATTTTAGGGCCCTTTTACTTTCAAATCAAAATTATATCTGTGCACCTACATAATTACTAGAAGTTGGTAAAGGCATTGGTAGAACAATGAGTGTGGACATTTGTTTGTTTTAGTTATATATATATTTTTAAATTTCTCCATCATTGGTCATACTTGTAATAAGTTCTTTTTTCTCTATTTAATTTTTGGTTTGGTAGCTAACTGGTGCAGGCCTCCTCATCAGCTCTATTTGGGCTTTATCATTCAGTTTGTCATTCCTTAGAGTCAGGAGTTTGTCCTCCTGAAACCCAGGAAAATTAGTTTTCAAAACTTTCTATGAAAAAGAAAATACAAAATACAAAATAGTGAGCTAATACACAAGTATGGGTTTCTTATCTTTCTCTACAAATTTTATTAATATGGTAACAAAAATTTTGGCATTGGAATGACAAAAAAATAGATAAGCATCATGACTTGAAATCTTCATTTTATAGATCATCCATTTAGCAATGAATATAGTTTAAATACAGAGATATGCGTTAAAGTTCCCCATACAAGAAGCATGCATTCTGACCCTTTGGGTTATTTTTTATTTTTTAAGGTTATTTTGTTTGTCTGTTTGTCTGTTTGCCTGTCCTGATTATATGTATCATATTCAAAATTTTAAATTTATAGAACCTGTTCTTCACAAAATTTATTTTTACTGACATGTCCTATGAAAATAACTCAACTTTCAGTAAATGCATATATTGAGTAACATTTAAATTTATATATTAAGTTTACTTAAGTTAACATTTACATTTAAAATAACATTCAAATTCCAAATATTTTCCTGTATTTATGTGTTCTGAATTATTTAATAACATTATATACCAAGATTGGTGATCAAAAATTCTTAAGGAGCCCCGAAGTGATTTTCCATTTTTTATTCCTCCATGGTTGTCTCTATGCTAGTCTTGTGCATAAGAATCTTCTAAGAAGATGAGAAAAGCAATTTCATTAAGATGTGATGCCTATATAATATATTTGATATAATTTTCATCTAAAACATAATGCCAACTCAAGTACCATTAATCAATATTGTATAGAACATCATTCAGGAAATTGTCTGATCAGGAGATTGTAAAGGAAGATACAGATCTAAAAATGATAAAATGTGAAATTTTGATCAAGAACAGACACTGCTGAAGATAAGTAAGACAGCAAAACAGCCAAGGGGGGATGTATGTCGGGCTTTTCTTAGCCATCCTCTCAGAAGCAACTCTTCCTTCTCCTTACATTGTGTCATTCTTCTTTTTTATTCATAGCACTAATTGATAATTAAAGTTGTTTTATTAATTTTTCCTTCTTCACCAGAGCATACGTTTCAGGAAAATGGAGATACTGTCTATTTATTTGTTCATTGTTTATCTCTTCTAGAACAATCCTCCACACATAAATAGGCACTTAATAAATGCTTAACGCATGAGTGGTTAGACAGATGGATAGAGAGAATATGCAGGCAGAACCTAAGAAATAACTAGAATTAGGTAGATCTGTTTTTACAAAAATTTCCTAGAACTCAGAACTGGAGCAAATTAAAAAAATAATTATATACAAACAGTAAATAAAATTGGAATATAGAATCATAAAATTAAAGGGAATCATAAAGGCAGACTGAGGTTGAATTCAGTTATTTAGATGGTCTCCTTGGTGACCATCTTGAATTCTTTATTATGAAATTGAATTCTTCATTATGAAATTCTTTATTATGGGTATAAATTTATTTTCATCTTTTTCTGAAAATTTTCTTCATCTGAGCCTATTTTTTGTTTCACTTTGTTGCTAAGAAGGAATATCTAAAAGATTACAAATGTGTTTTTTAAAAGGTAAAGAATTTAATATTGTGCTTGATAAAAAATGTTCTACTCTAGATTAAAATGTTTTTGTCCTCTCTTTGTAAGGTGCTTCCTAAATTCTGAAGTGCTTTCCTTATGGTATCCATAGAGCCTTTATTTTAACATCTTTTGTAAAGGCCTCATAATGAAAAGTCATCTGTTAAGTGTTTCAGTTCCATATTGGAGTGTTCCATAATAGTTATGGCTTATGAGGGTTTTTTTTGTGATGTCAGAGTCTAATCCACTACATGAACTGAACAGTCAGTTTTTACTAAGAGGGCAGAGGACTCATGACCAGTATAATGGATTTGATGTTGCAAGCATAGAAGGTGTTTATCATTTATGAAGGACAAATGTCTCATGCTCAATATCATCAAACTAACATATTGATCACCCTTTGTTAAGTTTTTTTTTTCTTTTCTTTTTTTTTTTTTTTTTACACATCTCAGTGGTTTGTGACCTTTGTTAAGTTTTTAATGCATGCAAATGCTTCTGTCTTGAGCCAATATGAGCCAAAAAAGAAGAGGCCAAAATCTCTTGATTTTATAACTTTCTATGTAGCCTCTCTATGCCTTCTGCTTTTACAAATGAAAAGTTCTAATTTTTTAAAATAGCTGCATCCCTCAGCTTCTCATGAGTCCCTCTTGTTGCTTCACTCTTTGAAAGCATGTGGCTGTCAGTGTGGTGAGAGTCAAAGTCAAATGCACCAACCATTGCCTACTTCTGGCCCCGGGAACTTCAGTCTCCTCCAAATGTGGCTTTACCCTACTATCCTCAAATGAAAATGGCCCAGCTTCATCTTCACACTTTCAGAAACAAATATCAGTGTTCTCACTCATTTCTCAAACTGACAAGATGAAATTTAAGTAGACTTTTTTGGTTCACATATCAACATTTTTCATGTTTGTTTTTCTCTCTCAGATGCTCTTAGTATATTCTTATGTGTGGCGAACACGAGAAAAAAAAAAACTGTTAATTTTAAAAGACATATAATCTTTCTCAATCCTTTTCTGATTACAGGGTTTCCAGCGGCATTTGTCGCTGCCTGGGCTGTGGCACGAGCAGCCCTGGCTGATGCAAGGTGAGTGGAAAAGAAGTGGCAAAGAGAGAGCCTCAGATTTGTCAGACTTCCTGCTCAGGATTCACACTTGCTGCTGTTCCCGATTCCATTGCCCTTTAGGGATGTCATGTGGGAAATTACTTTGATGCAACAGTAGCCTGCAATATATTGCCTGCAAGCCATCTATCCCAGAGGTCATAGAATGGAAAGATTGACAGACCAGATTAAGATGCTTGAACTCCACGGTTTATGGAAACTATTTAGAGCAGTGTATGAAGCAAGGGGAAAGAGATGGGTGGGGGAACCCACTTAGGGTGTAGTGCAAGCAGGTGGAAGGGCCACACTACCTGATTCCTGGAGTAGGTAATGTTCATACCTCCTGTCTCTTTCCACACCACTTCAGCTTTCCCCCAGTGGTGTGGTTATGAGGACTAGAGATGACATTGTAGAAAGGGGACCTACAGACAGGAGGTGCTGGGCCAGCGACACAGGCTTGCTCTCTCAGAGAGATGCAGGGGCAAGCACGCTGGCCGGCAGCTGTAGATTCGCAGTAAGCCTGCAGAGCAGCTCTGGGTTTTATTTGCATTCCTTGAGGAAAGTACATGTGGGAATGGGTTTCACCAATCAGTGGCTGAATTAAGACCTCAAGAATATTGAGCACTTCCTATGTATCAGGGATATTTTGTGGCTCTTGTATATTTCATATATCATGAGCGCTTTGTACCCAGTTGCCTCATGTATCTTTAGTACCTATGTTTAACACACATGTACTACTTGCTAATCGCTTATCTATATTTAATGCAAATTAGGGGTTTCATCCATCCCATTTGTTTTCTTATCTTTTATAGCAGACTTAAATATTTTTAAAATAAATGCAATAAAATTCAATAAAATAAAAGAAATGCACATTAGAAGTGGAATCCATCGCTATTTGTGAATCATTAGGCTCTTCCAGGTAGCATGGGCCTAATTTAAGGTAGCATTTAAAAGTACAATTACAATGTGTCAATTAAAAATATATAAATAAAACTGGTTTCTCTGGGGAAAAATGTACAGAGCAACGATGCTGGGTGGTGGCAAAGAACTCTCCCTTTAGATTTTGACAGACTAGAATTCAAATCTTGTGTCAGCTGCTGCTAGTTTTGGGACAGTGGGAAGGACCCATAGCCTCCTTGTGTATCAGCTCCTCATTTATGAAACAGACATAAGAATGTATGAATGGCATTGGTACATACAAGGCACTTAGCACAGTGCCTGGCAGCGAGGAGGCACTAAAAGGGAGCATGCTGAGGAGGAGCTCAGGGGCAGGGGTCTGGCAGGTCTGTTCTGCCACTTCTTGGTTCTGTGACAACAGATGTGCAACCTAGCCTCTCTGAGCCTCAGTTTCCTTTTCTGTCAAATGCCGATAAAATGAATACTACTCTTCGCAGGGTTGTTGCTGTAAGATTAAATGAGATAATGTATGCAAATGCTTGGAATACACTGGTAGTAAGTGCTACATACCCATTAGCAAATATTATTCCTTTAATTGTTTCATTAATTTCACTAATTTGTACTTACAGGTAATGTTTGATTAAACAATAAAAATAACATTTCTGTTTATTGTTATTCCATTAGAAAGCAGGACTTATCCTTCCATTAATCTAGTTTATGCTATTTTGATTTTTATCCTGTTAAGTCGATAGAGCCCTGATTCTGCTAAAGCTGGAGAGATGAAGGAGAGATGAAGAGTGGGATCTTACAGGCCTTATAGACCTTATAGACCCTTATAGGCCACATTAGGATGTTTAGTCTTTGTTCAGTGATGATGACAGAAAATTTGCATTTTAGAAAGATCATTGCCAGAACCTGGGGGAAAAACTGGAGGAAGGTAGTAATAAAAATAGCAGCTAGCATTTTTGAGTGCTGATTACATTCCAGGTACTTTCTAATTTTACACATATTAAGTTAATTGAACCTTATATCAACCCCATGAGACCAAGGCCAGAGAAGTTGTGCCCAAGGTTGCACAGCCATAAGTGGTAGAGAAGGAATTCGATCTCAGACATTTGGGCCCTAAGGCACCCAGTAAATACCTGTGCGCAGAGGGGATGTTTCTGTTGAAATAAGGGGCATTTCTATTATCTGTGGAGGAGGAGAGTTGTAGAGGATTCCTTTCACAATATTACTGTTAGCTTCTCACTCTTCAGTTGATTTAACACATCTGATAATTAGGAGCCTGCAGTAGACAATGTTCATAGTACACTGGAAGTATTTTTCTTACCTTCACTATATCTAGCCTTTTGTCTTTTTACCACTTCTAGAGTTCTTTCTGTTTGTTAAATCAGAAATAGGCTATCACCTACCATGGACTTTTTGACAATTCACTTTTTTGTCTATTTGTAATTCATACATACAGTCCTGTCTACTGGCACATGTTTTTCTCATTCACATGACAAAATTAAATATATCAGTATTTCACAGTGTTCAGGAAAAAGCCCCAAAATTACAAATACTCTACCTCTTTAGTATGCTTGAAATCTACTATTCCACCATGTAAAATGTTCCTTATCAAATTCCTGTAGCATTTAGCATGCTTATTATAAAATTATCCATTCTTATCTACCATCTATTTTTCTTAATGTACATGTATAATTGTCTTATTTTTTCCAACAAACTGTGAATTTTAAATGGGCATGAGTGACATTCTCTGTTTCACAATAGAGAATTCTCCAATGCATATCCGTCAATTCTTACGGATCCCTTTGGCTATTTTTCTCCATTTGATAAGTATCTCTTGAGCAATGATAAAGTTTGGGCTAATACAATTGTGAGTTATTAGGAGATGTGATTTTTCTTCCATTCATTGTTGTGGCAGTTTCCCTGAGCCTCAGTCTTCCTATCTGAAAAATGAGAATAATATTCTCAGCCATGACTAAGGTTGTGAGCCCATAATAAAAGGGCTTTGTAAACTCTAACTTCAAACATTAAATATTATTACCTTCGGGTGGGCAAAGAATCAATTTTTAAGGCCTGGTCATTGTATATAAATAGAAGAAAATCTTGACTGCCTATCTCCCGCCATTCCTCATACATGTCTGATAGACTTCAAGTCACCTTTACCTCTGTCTGTTGCTCCATGGCTGACTGCAGAGCAGGCTGCCTGGTAAAGACTTTCAATTGGCTCAGACAGACTTTAGCCAGAGCCCCCAGCTGTCTGTGTTTATCTTGAGGGGCTATATGATGAATGGGCACTGAAACATTCTTTTTTTTTCATACTATTTCTATTTTTAGTAATGATGAGTCAAAGAAAGAAAGGGAGAAAGCATCCAGGTACCTGTTGTTTTCTCTCATGGTCAAGCTTGTTGCTATGGACTGAATTGTGTCTCCCCCAAATCCATATGTGTGAACCCTACCTGCCACTGTGACTATATTTGGAGATAGGGCCTATAAGGAGGCAGTTATGGTTAAATGAGGTCCTAGGAGTGGGGCCCTATATGAAAGGAGTAGTGCCTTCGTAAGTAGAGATACCAGAGAGCTTGCTCTCCCTCTCTTGAAGAGGTCATGTGAGCGAGGCTGTCTACAAGTGAGGAAGAGAGGCCTCCCAGAAACGGACATGCTGGCACCCTGATCCTGGACTGCTAGCCTCCAGACTGAGAAAATGAATGTCTGTTGTTTAAGCCACCCAATCCATGGTATTTTGCTTTGGCAGCCTGAGCAGATTACTACACTTATGGTAAATAAAAGGAGAGACAGCTTTAATTTATGTAGGCAGTAATGCTGAGCATTCTCTATGTTAACAGAATATAATTTAATAACCACAGGTTGTGTATATTTCATGATAGAAATTTCCTTTTTATTAGCTCCTGGGAGCCTTTTTTTAATTTCAGGCAATATATTTGTTTTGGGTTACCAGGTATTTCTATTTTATCTGTCTGCACTAAAAGAAAAAAAAAAAGCCACGCTATGTGAGCATTTGAATTCTAGAAAGAACCTGCCACTCACTGTCCCTGAAAGTATGAACTGTATAGAGTTCAGGTGCAGCATCCCTAGTACTGGCTTCAGAGCTCCCCATTCATAAACTTCCCTCAGTTCTAAAATGCATTGGCTTTGCATTTTTACTGCTTTTATCCCTTTATGCTATTTGGATTTCTTAATTTTATCTACATTGTTATCAATATTGTTACACAGTGATATTGGAAATCTTAAGGAAAACTTGCAGCATCTGCTATTTGATTTCTGTGGGAGGGAGGTTGAGTCAGTAAAGAGGTATAAGTCATGCTGTAATAATTATTCTGAGATGTGCAAGTATATAAACTAGATTCAGAATTTCAGAGATGATAGGACCTGAGGCATTTTGTGGTCCAGTCTCCTCATTTTAGAGATAAATAAAATGAGACCCAGAGACATCAGGGCATATTCTCAAAGCTCACCCTCAGCCTTGAGCAGAATTTTGACTCATTCCTTCATTTACAGATATTCTAGGTCTTGAGCACAGCAAGAAAGCAAGTAAGTTCACAATGTAATTTATACTGTATTAGATAATTAGTTTTCTTAGTTATCTTGTTTTCTTTCATAGTGATCATAAACTGTCTTAAAGCATTAATAATAATAAGTCTTTTCATTGAAAAAATAAGAAATATGTTTATTATTTTTGAGGCAAATGATTCATTGTGCATATAGTATGTTGTAAAATATAACTGATACTAAACATTGCACTAACACAGTTAAATTCATGTAAAAAATTAAATATATGTTAAATCACGTGACTCCATTATGCAAAATATTTCATTCTTCCTGCCTTACTCAGAATAAATTTTTGAATTTTACAGTACCCTTATCTGGGATAATTGGATGAAGGGGTTATTTTATATTTGATTTTGCACATAAAATTAAACTGTATTACTACTTATCTGGCATAATTTCAAAATAGCCTGATTCAATTCTTATGAAATTCAGATTTTCTACAGACAGGAAGTTTTTGTGGGTTTTCTTGGATGTAATCTGTGCTACATATGGTGCCATGTCACAACATTCAGGTGAAGAGAGTAGATATTAAGTATCTCCAAAGGATAGATGGGCTCCATGTTCATGTCTCTTACATTTGAGACTCAACTTTTTCTGAGCCAGCTTTTCAATGCCAGAAGTCTGATTTTCTGTGCATCTTGGCCATTTAGAGATAAGGAGATAAGACCTAGTTTTAAAAAATAACCTAAACTTTATTGAGTATACAAAGGAAGCCTCTTCCAGTTCTAAACTTCTACCAAGATTGTTATTTGACTAAAGTAGGCTAAGATAATTAATTAGGTTGGACAAATGAAATTAAAAAGTGAGTATTTTTGTTTCTTTTTATTTACAAAAGCAAAAATACCTTACATGATACCTTATAATCTTCTCCCTGCCTCATTTAAAGGAGGTAAGAGAGGCTAATGAATGGGGAAGCTCACAACTTCTTTGCTATGTTTTTGTTTCACCATCAGTAGCAAAGGTGAGTGGGGCCTGCAATGGAAAGTACTAAGAAAAGATGCTCTCTAACGTTTTTAGGACATTTGCATAGGCTGTCAGGGCCAGGCTTCTCTCACCTTCTCTACTCTTACTGATTATGAGATGCGGAGAGAAGGTAGTATGCAGTCAGTACAAAACAGCGCACCTGTTTCCCACACTGGCTGTAGGAAGTCCTACTCTCTAGTCAGACCTTTGAGCTTCGTGCTCTACCATACAGAACTGCATTTTCTAGAGTGTTAAAATTTATTTTAAAAAATATGAACAGAGAATAGTTTCTGGGACACATTAAAAATACCATGTGAGCCAAAAGAAAAAAAAAAAAAAAAGGGCCGGGCGCGGTGGCTCACGCCTGTAATCCTAGCTCTTGGGAGGCCGAGGCGGGCGGATTGCTCAAGGTCAGGAGTTCAAAACCAGCCTGAGCAAGAGCGAGACCCCGTCTCTACTATAAATAGAAAGAAATTAATTGGCCAACTAATATATATATATAAAAAAAAAAAATTAGCCGGGCATGGTAATGCATGCCTGTAGTCCCAGCTACTCGGGAGGCTGAGGCAGAAGGATCGCTCCAGCCCAGGAGTTTGAGGTCGCTGTGAGCTAGGCTGATGCCACGGCACTCACTCTAGCCTGGGCAACAAAGCGAGACTCTGTCTCAAAAAAAAAAAAAAAAAAAAAAAAAAAAAAAAAAAATACCATGTGAGCTAGGACATTGAAAAGTTAATTTAAAACAAGCATTAATGGCATTTTCTTTAAAAAGGTCTGAAATCTCAGTTTACTTTCTCATATCAAAGGGCACATTTGAAACTTTGACACTGAAAATCATTTAAGTCAAGTTTTTCATGCTTTTAGAGGTAACTGGTTTTGACCTACTTCCAAATACAAGTATTTTATAGAGCTTGAATTGTTTAATTGAATCCCAGTGTGTTAGGAGACACCATGATGAAATGTCATTGAGGCTAAGAAAGTAGATCGTTATCATATTACCAAATGTCAGAAACCGAAAAGAAAATTTATGGAATCCAAAAGCCTTGCAGTTAGTGAATCAATAGTCACACAACATATGCTACCTTCCTTATAGTAGAAAGCTTTTTTAGGGTAGCGTGAAACGTGTTCTAAGTGGTGGAGAACCCATGGCCACAAGGCCACATGTGGCCCTCCAGATCCCCAAGTGCAGTTCCTTGACCAAATCCAAACTTCACAGAACAAATGCCTTTATTTGTTCTGTAAAAATTGGATGCAGTTAAAAGGCTGCACTCAAGGATCCAGAAAGCCACATGGGGCCCAAAGACTGCAGGTTCCCCACCCCCTTGTCTTTCTTGCGTGGTTAAATCATGTGAAAAATAGATGCATGTAAATCATGCTAGGAAATGTTCAATAATATGCAAAGTGTAAAATCACTATGTTTTAGATTTCCATGTTATTCAGACTTCAAATCCATTGAATACATATTAATAGATTTCAGTTTTTTTGGCTGGACCACAATTACACTTTTGTGTAGAGTTCTGGTTGATTTGACTGTAGTATATACCCTGATTGAATGCTGTGCTACTGAGCTCTCTTGGTATTGATATGTAAAGAAATAAAAGATACTCCTTTAAAAGGAAAAAGCAAGTTGTTTAACAGTGCATACATTACATTTTTGCAAGATAGAGGAAAATAATAATATAACATTCATATTTGTATATGAATAAAGAAACATTGGAAGTATGTGAAATAAGGTAATAAAAGATGTTATCTAAAAGGAGATGGGTAGAGTGATAGAAGTAAACAGAAACACGGGCAGAATTGAGACATCTCAATGTCTGTCTTTGTGTATAGTTTGATTTTAAAAATAAAAATATATTGCCGATACATAGAACTTTAAAAATTATAGTTATTAGGTATGTACTGAAAATGTTTTACCTTTAAGGAATAGTTGAAATAACATTATCCATAACTTGCTCATTAATGAAAGGTTATTTCTTGATAAGTTTTTCTAGAATTAAAAAATTATCATTTTATCTCCCAAATTTCTTTATATCATTTACAACTGCCACAAGCAATGCTGGGTTTTGTCTAAGGAGAAAGAAACTGAAAGTATTTTGTAAATGTATCTTTAATTTAAAAAAAGTGTTTAAAGTGATACATTAAAATTTCAGGTGGAACTAGTTTTGTTTTTTAATTAATCCTGTGCTGTTTATTCTAATGTAAGACCTTTATCAGTAAAACCAGATTGGGTTAGGCTGAGTCAAACTTACTTTGCATTCAGTTCATGGCAATTCAATCTAACAAATATTTATTGACTACCTACATATTATTCTAGGCACTTGTAATACATCAGAACACAAAAACAACAGTGATCCCTGCCCATGTAGAACTTAAATCTAGTTAGAGTGGGAAAGAAGCAGAAAATAAATGTAAGAAATAGGCAAATAGTATTTTTATTAGTTGCTGTTAAAAGCAAACTTTTTAAATTAAAGATAAAATCATGGATCTTATATGAACACCTGTCAAAGATTTTTTTTTAACTCAGTTAATGAGGGAAGTAGTAAGATGTTATAATTTGTTCAAAGGAAAAATCAAAAGACCACATGTTTATATTCAGTAAAATGAATCTCAAAAATGTATACATAAATGCAAAAACTAGTCAATATTCACAGAACACTAATTAATTATATTCCACTGAACACAGCTAATTTTCATTTCTATGGACAAGAATCATTCGCATCCAGTTTTCTATGGCATTTCTTTCTTTCCTTTTTTTTTTTTTTTTCAGCCTATTACCATCTGTCTCCTCAACTCTATCTAAAATTCATTAAAGGGAGAACTTGTGGCTTTTAACTCAGTATTGCTAGTATCAAGCAGATTGAAAGCTTGGCTCTACTGTGCTCTCATTAAATGTTTGGAAGACTAATGGACCACTACTAGAAAAGATTTTCTTTCAACCTCTGCTGCTAGGTTTCCCAAGACAGGCTATGGATAAGAATAATTTGCGTTATTATCAGTGTTCTACAATTGAAGGAGATATAAAATAGAATTCCTGTAATTTCTGAAAGAAAGAGGACTTTCTCTATTACCAAGTGTTAATTATTAAGGCCCATTCCAATGAAACTAAAAGTCAAGCATTGGTGGTTCAGTGGTAGAATTCTTGCCCGACAATGAAAATAAAAGTGATGTATCAATTGCAACATATTTAGAAGACTATACTTTTTTGTGGCTCTGGAAACATGGTTTTAACTCTTGTCACTATAAAAGTAATTCACTAATATTTATAAATTTTTACTTGTCCACAAGTGGTAGCTAATACTGTGAAAACCAGTACCCATTACATCTTTTTTTCACTGGTTTGGGCATTTAAAAAATATTTTTTTATCTGTTTGTTTCTTTATTTCTTAATCAGAAATTTGGGGTTGGAGCTTTTGGTAAAACTTAAAATACTACTTAATTCTCACTACCCATTTGCTTTGCCAATTTATTCATGAAAATTTTTTTTTTCTTTTTCCTATATCTTAGGTGCTGGGAACTCAGTGCTGGAGACATCAAGTGGATTTATCAAGCACCAATCTTAGCAGCTATTGGGGTAAATTTAAAATCTTGTATAGTTAAAAAACAAAACAAAATGAAACAAAACTGCTACTAAAACCCAGGGAAAGTTTGTCTGTTACTTTATTCTACAGTAGATTTGGGAAACTTTTATGTGTACAGCAAAAGCTGTTGGGAAAGTCTAGGTCTGGGATCAGACCCTTATTTGTGGCTGACACTGAGACTCAATGCAGAAAGCACATCCCTTTTCTTTAATCAGCTAGCACTTGGGGACAATTCTGAGCCTTCAAAATACCCATGAGCATTTATATAATATGTTTAGGGAGTTGGAAGACCCTAAATCTTTCTTCCTTTCTCATCCATTATATTATTTCTCCACTTTAATGTTTTGATCACCTGGTTGTAGGTTGGGGGGTAGGGAGGGAAAGATGGAGTAGCAGAAGAAGAGAGAAATTACTGAGAAAGAAGGATGACAGTATGATCCATTATAAAACACCACCTAAAGCTTTTATTTGGCATACTTCCCCTAAGGGGTTAGGTGGGTCCCATACCAAGAAATAGCCTGCAGAATTCTGTCAGTAGGTAATAGGAAAAAAGGCTAGTCGGCAATGCACGTGGCATTGGACCTTATCTGCCTGGAATATTTCAACTGTATAGTGCAGCTAGGTTGCAAAGGAAAACAAAATTGCACACGTCTTTGAGTCTAACAAAACTCACCTAAATGTTTACTTTTGATCATCCTTGAAGACTTTACAGCATAAATTAACTTCTCTTGATTTGAAGAAATTATACCACCTTGTGTTTTCCTGGTGTTCATGTATGCAATGCAGGTTGTAAGCATCTCAAAAAGAGGATTAATGTCCCAATATTAAATGTTAAATCACTTAAAAGTAATTTAGTAACCTGATTACCAACTAATTTTTATGTTTTTCTTTGTTCTCAAGTTTCTTATTTTTCCCGTTTTGTTTTCTTTAGAACAACAAGTCACCCACGTTGTCAGCATATTGGCTTGTTAGATCCAGAAGGATGGCTATTAATGCGGTTGAGATTTTGTACAATTATCCAAATAGTCAGATAAAAGCTTATTTAACTCATAGGAAAAATGCAGGAAGACAAATAGAAGAGATCAAAAGGAATCTTCATTTTGGAAGCCCATTAAAGTAAATAGTTAAAGGGGAAAACAAAATTGGAACACTTAGAGAAGCCAATTTGTACCCCTGCTGCAAACATCCTGTTAACAAATTAGACCCAATTCTCTACGTCCTAGGAGAAGCTCAAAATTGGATTGTAAATAAATGAATCAATGCCTTTAATTTGTAAACTCTTATTGTTTTAATTTTTAATGTAAATGAAATGCTGCTATATTAACCTAGGGATAAACCAGCCCAGAACTACAACTATATCTCTGAAAGGATAGAAATGAACTTAAAGATAAAAATGAGCTACTCTGATTTCCCTTTTATCCATTGGTGCTGTGTCCTTATCTACACTTCTAAGCCTTTTATTTTCCTCCTTTCTAGTTCCTCCTGTATACGTTTGCTCCTCCATATCTTACTATTCTCTTTTTTAAGGGAACAACCTATATCTTATTATTTTTTTTTATCTTCAGTGCCTTATACTGGGACTGATAAATAAGAGATACTAATGAATGCTCTTAAACTTACCTACATTTCTATATAATGCTTAAGTTTGATTTTTCATTTGATAAAAAAATAAAATCCTATTAAAATTAAAATTCAAGGGATCATTGTAAAATTATTAGGAACCGAAGCAAAGGACAATGGAGAAAAGTAAATCATAGGACATTTTTCATTAAAACAATGAATCTTTATCAATTTTTTATTGAAACAATTGATCTTTATTGCTAGCTTCAGGGTAACCAGATAATGACAGGTGTCTACTGGGTGGGGGTTTAAGCCACAAGGATGGCAAGTGGGCAGGACGTGGGTCTGGAGAGTTGGGAGGCAAAAGAGACCAGGAACTGGGGTGTGGAACTCTGAGTACTTTCCCTTTACACGAGGAATACATTTTCCATTTCCCTGACCTGGGCCCTTCTTCCTCCCTCATCTCACATCACATCACATCACCTCCTCCCTCCCTGCTGCCTTGGCTCCACACAATGGCTTTCTTTTAGTTCCGTGAACATGTCATGTTTCCCACCACGAAGCCTTTGCACGTGCTGTTCTGTATGTCTGTTGTGCTGTTCTCCCTGCTTGTCACCTGCCTAATGTCCGTTCTTCCATCAGGTCCCAGCTTCAAGCCAAGCTTTACAGACAGGCCATTTCTGAGCACCTTAGAGTGTCACAGTAGTTAAAGCACAGACTCTGGGGCCAGGCTGCCTTTTTAGAATCCTAGACTTGCCCTTTTGTCGAGTGTGCAGGCTAAAATTTTATTGTGCAGGCTGGCCTTGGACAAGTTATTTAAACTCAGGGTCCAGTTGTGCCACCTGTAAGGTGGGAATAACAGTGTAAATTACACGAGTTAATCACAGAAGTGCACTAGGAACAGTGGCTTGCACATAGCACTATAAGCATTAGCTATTATCATTTTTATTTTTCATGTGTTAATGCCTTGCCCACAACTGAGGCAGACACCCCAACACATTATCTTAAAAAAATGTCTCCATAAAGTAATAAAGACAATGTCAGTTTCTGGACAGCAATAATGGTAACTAACACTTGTGCCTTGTAGATCCGTAAGTGGATGCTCAGACCTGAGAGGTCCCCCAAGCATGATCTGGCTTCCCACACTCCACAGTCTCCCAGGGTGGCACCATGAGGGGTCCTCGGGCCATGCAGAGGCCCTCTGATTGCAGAATGTCCTCTCTCCCCGTGTCTCATAAAGCCTGGCATGCCATTGGTTTGACTGTTTTAAAAGGCTGTAAAGTCATCTACCAAAAATAGTGTAATTGTTACCTTTTGTTGATAGGATTGGAGGTTATTTTTACCCTATCATTAAACATTTTAGTATTAACTATTTTTTGGTATTAGAAGGCCTTACTTTGTAATCAAGAAATAGATATTTAGATTTTGAAAACGTTCTTAAGCTTTTACTTTTGTAATTTTCCAGGTAAACCATTCCATGATTCACCTTCTATTCAAACACAATAAAGCACGAGGTGAGAAAAGTATAACCTAATGTTTTTGTTTTCATTTTCACTTTCTTGCTTCCTGTGTGAGGTCCAGCTCCTGAATTAAATAAGTATTTGAATAAAAAACCTGCTTCTTAAATCATCTCGTGGTCTTCCCAATGACTTGCTGGCAAACCAGGCAGACAGTGAGTTAGCACCCCTGTGTTGAACCTGACCAGCACCCTAGGTCTCCTCCCACTGGGTCTGCACGAAGATGTAAAGATGGGGGAAGGCTCTGCAACACCAGCGCATGATTTGTCTGTCCTCTCCCCCAACCCTCCCCTCTCTCCTTAGCACCTAGTGAGGCCCATGGTAAAGAATCTCCTTGTGTCTGTGGCTTCCAGGGGCTCTCTACTTTTGCTCCAACCCATAATTGGCTTTTTTTTTTTTTTATAGTGAGAGTACTTTAGATCTCCCCTCTTAGCAAATATCAAGCATATAATGAATGCAGTATTGTTAACTCCAGTCCCATTGCTGTGCATTAGATCTTCAGAAACTATTCATCTTGCTTTGCCTGGCTTAATTCACTTAGCATAATGTACTCCAGGTTCATCCATATTGTTGCAAATGGCAGGAATTTCTTCTTTTTTTAAGGCCGAATGGTATTTCAGTGTGTGTGTGTGTGTGTGTTTGTGTGTGTGTGTGTGTATTGAACCATAGATCACTTTGGGTAGTATGGACATTTTAACAATATTGATTCTTGCAACCCATGATCATAGGATGTCTTCTCATTTATCTGTGTGTGTATACACACACACACACACACACACACACACATATATATACACATACACATACCACAATTTCTTTATTCATTCATCTATCAATGGACATTTAGGTTCATTCCGTATCTTGGCTGTTGCAAATAATGCTACAATAAACATGGGAATGCAGGTATCTCTTTGACATACTGATTTTATTTCCTTTGGGTAAATACCCAGAAGTGAAATTGCTGGATAATGTGGTAGTTCTATTTCTAAATTTTTTAGCCTGTTGTTGAAACTTTCTGCTTTATTTTGAAATTCCCTGCATAACTCATTTCTTTAAGTTCTGTTATATCTTCTCTTAAGTTGTCTAGCTCTTTACTGACTTTTTAATTTTTTTCATTGATGTCCTGAAAGTTTTTTTGGCTTCTTTTGTGTTGGTTTTCAACTTTCTCTTTAATCCTGTTCATCTCATTTGCCATTCATATTCTGAATTCCATTTCTGACTTTTTGACGACTTCCTTTTGGTTGCAATCCATTGCTGTAGATCTATTGTGATCATTTGGGGGTGTCAAACTAGCTTGTTTTTTCATGTTGCCAGAGTTGTTTTGCTGGTTTCTTCTCATCTGAAACCTCTTCTCTCAGCTCAGGGCAAATAAGTTTGTAGGACACCTGTTTCCCTTTGCTGAGAACTCTCCTACTTAGTGAGAAGAAGGAAAGGTCCCTAGATGGCACTTTTGTGACTACTCTAGAAGATTGGCCCACAGGAGAGGAGCAGATAGAAAGAGCCTATAATTCAGGGGTTCTGTATTGTCCCATTCCCTTCTGCTTGTCACAGTCTAAGCCGAATGATCTTTGTGTCGAATAATGTGTTGTTTCCCAGGCTGCTGTTGTAAGCTCCAGCAGGGAGCTGGGCAAGTCTCTCTCCACAGAAGTTGGCATTATAGGTAACTGCTCGGCCTGGGTCCCTGTGGCAGTGGCAGTGGCAGACAAGCAAGGCTACCTAGGCAGTGATCATGGGTGTCAGGGCTGTGGGCATTCAGTTCACCTGGGTCCAGGTGTGATGGTGGCTAATGGCTAGCAGGTCTCTGGTGGAACATTGGACTGTTGGGATGGTTTCTACCTGGCGGTGGGTGGGAGCCATGGGGATGGGGCCAGGCAGCAGGGTGGGATCCACATGGGTGGGGCCGTGGGGCCCAGTGG